AAACGGCATTCAATGAATAAACTATTATTTGCATTTTCTGAATTTCTTGGCCCGTCCTGAGTCTTCCTTCGAAGCCATGTGAGTCCTCAGTACTCGAGGGCTAGAGAGTCATTGTATTTAATTTTACCGTTGGACAATTTAATATAATCACTTCCATTCTGAGCACAAGCTGGATCAAACACTTTGGAGGCTGCAGAGCAGTATTAAACCTGTACCTCCCCAACACCATTCATCCATTTTTTTTTATCACTTCATGCAATACAGGGTCGGGAGGACCCGGAGCCTATCCTGTCAAGCAATGGGTACAAAGCAGGATATACCTTGGGCAGGACACCATCCACTGTAGGGCACAGACATACACACAAACTCTCCCCGTGGCCAGTTTTCCCAGAAGCCAATAAGCCCACCAGTATATCTTTGGACTGTGGGAAAGAAACCAGAGCACCTGGAAGGGACCTGCACAAAGACATACAAACTCCACACAGACAGCACCTTAGGAATTGAACCTGCATGGAAGCAGTGCGAACCACTGCACCACCATTGGGCCCCTCCAACATACCATATTTGAATTCCTATGGCTTACTTGTTTATTAACTTATTTTCATGGTATAAAAATAGCCACAGTTATGTTTTTTTTTCAGTTTTCAGTCACAGAGATGAACTTACAAATTCAGAATATTCTAAAGAAAATGAGTGTCAGAATAAAGGCTTGAAAATTAACTCCCAGGCTTAAATTGGTTAGGAAAAATAGACCACATACTGTACAATCCTACTGATTACAATACAGTACTGTGGATGCTGCTGAAATACAAATCAGAGAGACGTGTGCCTTGTACGAAATTGAGGCTGATACCCTTCTGTTCTGTCTTGCAGCAACGTGGAATCATAAAGCTTAAGTCAATTAAGTAATTCATATCTCAGGTGGAATAAAAGATAAAAGGCTCTGGGACTGCTAAGACCAGTTTTTAACCTGACTGCTCTTCAGGCAAGTGCACCTGTGACCCATTCACAAGGCAAAAAATAAACCTTTCCCATATAAACCATAAGATGGCAGTGTTCTGGGAAAATGTTAGCTAAATGTTTTTTTTTTTATTGACCGACATATTTTTGTCCAAATCATAAGCATTAATTGTCCTAGATTCTCTGTGCATTCAAACTAAGTAATCTAAACAGGAGTTTTTTCATAGCGATTCTGCTTTTAAAGAAAAAATGTATTAATCAGCCCACACTACAACCAGGTAAAGGTATTAAATTTTAAATCCTGTTTCTATCAAGTGCTTAGAACAAAACTGCAGACTTTATTGTTAACTGAATACAGAGTCACAGTTGTTTTCTGGAGAATTTTCTTTTCCTGTGCAAACAGTGTATTTGATAGTAATAGGATTGCACCTTAAATATTTACAAAATGAGGCATCAGAAGCTGTAGAAAATTATGAAATGACGTACTGGAAAACACAATCAGGTAAATGTATTGCCTGAGGAAGTGAAAATATAAATACAAGCTTTAGAGTGTTTAATCAAATTGGTGTTCAATTTAATACCCTGGTAAATTTAAATTTAAACAACGTTGCTGTGATTTTGAAACCATAAGCAGTAAACAGCATATTTTACAAGTAAAAGTGGGTATCTGTTATTACTAAACTACAGTAATTTGAACTGTTTCAAGATATTAGCAGCAATTAGAAACACAAAAATTATATTTTCTTATTATAATTCTAATTCAGTAACTGTGGTAACTCAATTTGAAGTCTGCTTTTTTTACCCTTGACATCTCAGTTACTTTTATACAGTTACATAGTAGATAAGACTTTTAGTACATTTATTTGGAGACATCTCAAGATTGAAAAGGTCAAATTTATGTTCCTGAATTTTTGAATGGATCGGTTTGACAATGTTTAATACCTTCATCTGCTAAGCGCAAAACTATTACTGAAAAATATTAATTAATAGGGAGTTTTAAATTAACTGTAAAAGCTACAATAAATCTGGCATAGGTACCTAACTCGTACTACATAAAAGTTAGATACTTACAGCAAATCCAGGTTTAGTTAGGATTTCAATAGAAAACATCATGCAACAGTCCTTTTGAACTGCACTGCAGAGTATTGAGCTTGGCTGACGTTTTATTGCTGAAGGCTCCAGATGGTCCATATAAATCGAAGATAAATTACTACCAGGTAAGACTGGGAGTAAGAAATAACAAAATCTAATGTAAATTAATGTAATGTAAAATCTAAAATGTAATGCAGATTTTTAACAATTATCACTTTAATCTTGGAAATATTTGATCCTAAGAAAAATACACTCATATTTGACATTTAAAAGCATTTTCTGTTATGTTTCTTGCCTCATTGAATGTACAATACATTGTTTGGTAAGTGTAATCCTGATGCTTTGTTCAAGAATCAGGAAAATGTCCTCTGCTGCAGTAGCAGTAAATTTACAACCCCATCTTACTCACTGGATCTTTATGAGAATCCCTGGATGGAGATCAAGTCCTCTGGTGAACGATAAATGGCCCAACCCTTTGTTAATCACTTCCAGATTTTCCTTAAACTATAAAAAGAGCTTGGATTCGTTTCCTGAAATGTTAGTTGAGCTGTTCTTAATTTGTATGCTACCAAGGCATGTCTTTGTTGCTGTTCGGAGGCCCGATTCAGGATCAGACAGAATTTTAAATGAGGCAAATGATCCAGGAAATAAAGGTAAAGTTAATCCATCCATTTTCTAACCTCTTTATCCGTTACAGGGTCATGGGGGAGCCAGAGCCTATCCTAGCAAGCAATGGGCACAAGGCAGGATACACCCTGGTAGGGACTCCAGTCCATTGCAGGGCATACACACAAAGACAAGCACACACTCACACCAGGGCCAATTTTTTACAAAAACCAAATAACCTACTGTACCAAGATGTCTTTGGACTGTGGGAGGAAACCCACATGAACACAGGGAAAACATAAAAGCTCCACACAGTTATCACTTAAGGAACTGACCTCAGGGCATCAGCACTGCAAAGTAGCAATGCTAACCACTGTGCCACTTGCAGTTACTATGCAGTTGAAAAGCAAAGGTCACAGTCTCTGGAAGATAAAAAAATAGATTATTAGGTTATAACATTATGTGAGCTTACAAAACTGCAGTTAATAAACAAGTCAACCATAGGAATTCAAATGTTTACCCATAACTCCCTTTCATATTAATCATTTGTAAATGTTGGTCATTAGTATGCAGATTTTATAAAATATTTTAAAATCTTCAGTGAGGTAAATGATTTTTTGTCTAGAAATTTAAAGAAAGATAAATGAAAACAAGAGTAAAAACTATCATAAGTGCTCATAATTATCTATTAGCACCTTGACTTGCAGTAAAACAATGCAGAATATTTGCATACAGTGGTTAAAAGGTGATGTACTTACATCTCTTGGATTACTCTGTTAAATGTTTAACTGTGTAAACGCAGCTTTGGTTTGTCAGTGTAAACGCTAATGCACTATAAAAGGACACACCTAGTTAAATTAAACAAAAAATAACCATCTCAAAATCAACAGTGAATTAATTAAAATACATTTTTACAATTCACTTAGCCACAGTAGTTTAGAGATGTGTCAATAAATATACTATTAATTTATACAATTAATTATATGGAAATAGAAGAACCATAATCTGGAACCAGAGAATTAAAGAAGTCATGTTGAGGGTTTGTAAATGAAAATCCATTGTTTTCATTTAACTATTGTATTTGTGATTATAATAACAAAAATCCTCTAATATTTTGGTCAGCCAACAGTGTTTTTTAATCCTAATGTTAATTTTGAAAAATAATTTGTATAGCTTTTTGTTCCAAACACTGCATCAAAACAGCAGGAAAGAGCACAGTGATCATTCACAGGTTTACAGCCTTGCAACATGTCCTGCATGAAAATCTGATTTATTTTTCTGCTGTCAGTTTTGTGTGAGGTTTGCATTTTTTTCACATGACATGTGCACGAGAGGAAAAGTTTGGATTTAACTCTCCCTGTCTGCTTGTGTGGCAAATATCACCCTCTGAGCTTTATAAGAGGATGTTGTTAACCAGTGAGGCAGTTTACTTTTTTGTGCATTACTCCCTCTGCATCTCAGAAAACTGGAATGAGCCTTTGTGGCTCAGCCAGAGCAATGCCAGAAAGAGGCCCTAACTGAGACTGTAAGACAGGCCATCGCCTTGTGGCTCATGTTCTGCATCATGCAACACATTCAAAGAAAAAAAGTAGATGGCCACCAGGAAGAAAAATAGATTTAAATCCCAAAGTTTCTGTGGCCTTTTCAGTTACAGCATGATGAGTTTAAGGAAGTTTCCATGATGAGGAAGCATAATCAGATTTTGTCATTCATATTTCATCTGGCCATGACAACCAAAGTTTATATCCCCAGGTCTGGGGAAAGGTACTATACGGCCAGCAGTGTCCATAATATTGACAGGACTTTCCTCAGAACATCAGTACTCAGTTTCTCCTACAGTGGAGCAGCCCTTTTTATTGAGTATTCTTTTTTAATTCAACAAATCTAAAAGCAAGAGTGCCACCTTGTGGCTGACCAACACCAACAACACCCAGAATTATCCTGGTGCCTCCCGACTCACACCTCTTTTGGGGGGGATTCTGACTTAGTGGCACCCAGTCACAATTTCACAGATGGTAGCTTCGCACCACTGGCTTTTCTGCCAAGCACATGTAGTTCCTCTCATACTGAGTGGAATTATTATTGCAACAACACATCATCAGTAGGGTACACCTAATCTCTAGGACTCCTTTTCTTTAGCTAATAAGATCCAGTCTCGGTGACCATCTGTGACCTAATCAGCAGAGGTTTAAGAGTTTAAAGGAAAGTTTGGTCAGAGCCTCTTGATATGTTTTACTGCTTTTTTTTTCAGAGCTTCTAAACAAATAAGAATAATTCATTTATATCAATGGATGTGAAAGTATTACTAAAATATTCAATAAAGGATAATACTACAAGCTTAATAATTAGAAAATGCCTTTAATAAACCTTGCACTAATTGCTGACAGAAGCAGGAAGCAGTTTATTAGATTTTACATATATATTGCTCTGATATGTTAAATTCCTGTAATTAAAAAAAATGTGCTTATCAAACAGAACCAGGGGAAACAGAACATCAAACGTTATACTGAAAACCAGACACAGGAGAATTCTCAGACACTTTTGATCCTTTTAACAGCTTGCTCCTTTGTTTCTAGTGAAGGTACAGCACAGGCACAGCCCACAAAGAAGCAAAACAATTTGAAAATAAATTGGTTCCCATTTTCTATAAAAAATAAATATAGACTTCACATCATTTTAAATTAACATCTTAGTACAAAAATACCTTTCATGTCTTAGTTTAGAGGATGCCATGTTTATTTTGGAATACTGATATGCTGTTGGAACTAGGATACTCAAGTTACACTTGCAAATCTCAAGCAGTCTTAATACATTCTCTGTACTGATACTACATTATCTTTGTCTTAATCATGTCATCTTATTTACTGGAACAGAACTAGCAAAGGGAGGCAACTCAGAACGACGATAATTTGTAGAAACTCTGAAACACAGGTTATTTAAGCCTTTGAGTCTTGTCAGTTCAAGAGCTCTGGGTTCAATCCAGACACAGGTCACCTGTCATTCTTTTGACCACCTGTTTTTACTCAAACATAATCCAGCTCTAGAATAATCCAGATAATATGATGCGATGATAGTCTAATTCATATGAGGAATATTTTTTTTTGTAATCTGGCAAATTCATCAGATTCAGGTTACATTCTCACAAAAGAAACCAATTTCATTAGGCCAAATCATTGAGCGTGTTTCATTTAATAATTATGAATATGTTTTAATTGAATAGGATCACATATTGCACAATTACCCAGATGTATGTTTTAAATATACTACTTCATTTATTTCAATTCACCATCTTAACAATTGTTTCTCATCTACAGTTACCACTTTTGGGGGTCTTTTGGCATTACCAACATTCGTAAAATACGGAAAAGCGGGTTTTCAAAAAAATTAAGAAGCCATGACATTTAAATTTCTTGCTACTTAGAATAATAACTTCCATTTTTCCAATGATCACAAAGAAGGATGTAAATGCTTGTCTTATACCATAAAATAAGCTTAAAGTTCCAAATAATAAAATGTTTGAATTTCTTTCCACTTGTTTAATATGTTTAAAAATAAAGTATGCGTTTTCCTCCACCACTAAACTATCTATTGGAATAGTGGACATTTTGAGAAGCATCATGTAGGTTGCTTAGAAAAGCAAATTGCTTCACGAAACTGCAGCATTTTCTCACAAGTGAAAATGGACATGACTGCTTTACTAATCACCGAAGGCCTGACAGATGTATATTTGATTGCCAAGTCTCTCATTACATGGTATCCAAAGCCAACAGATTCAAACAATAAGGCAAGCACACTGCCATTGGGAACTCTGAGCCTTTAAAAATCTTGGCCCATTGTGATTAGCCTTTGAAGTGCACACACTGAGAACAAGTTTGTTAGCAGCACTACTATGAATTAAAAAAAACATTAATTCTCAAGTTCCAGCAAAGTTAATGGTAAAGAAGATAAAACCTTCAGAATTTACCCAATGCCTGTCAAACTGTTATGCACAACTATTTTATAGTCACATATTGATAGCTACATATTTGTAATTTCAAGACTTTACATCTTATCAAAACAAGATATATTTTTGTTAATTTGTTTTATCCACACTGTTCCAGTTTTATTCTATAAATATATAGATCTTAGATGTTGTTAAAATAACAAATGTGTCAACAAAATGACAGATACTTTTTTTGTGATACAACAAAGAAACACATTTCACTTTTATGAATCTATATGTATATAGCCTCTTCAACTACAAAAGTGTCTTTGAAGCTAATTGTAGCCTAGTAGTTAGAAAGCAATTAATTAATTAATTAATAAGAAACCAGCCATCACAAAATCTAAATTCTGCACATGAAACATCAAAATACACTATATGTTTTTCATTCACAAAAAATATAATTGGCCTGCTTCGATTCCAAAGCCTGCACACATACTGTAAGGTACTGAATTAGGAAAATAATGTAAATGTGTTATTTTAAAATTAACTCCAGACTAAAATTGGCATTTTTTTTTGCAAATTGCAAGAAAATGGCTGTTTGAATAACTGTAATACATCATAATAAGTCCTTACGCAGCATAAATCAGAAGCTTTATAATTTCCTTTTTTTTTAGTTAACATTCTGAAAAAAAAAGGAACGCAAACTCAAAAATTGTTGATGTGCTATCCAGTAAAAATCAGCAAAGGCAGTAAAATAAGGTCAACACAAATTTTATCCACTCCAAAATAATCTTTATTAGAACTCAAAATATGTCCGGATGAAAGCTTGTGTATACTAAAACGCTGAAGAGTTCTAATAATTATTATTTTGAAGTGGAGATGGACTGCAGTGCATCCAGCTTAGGTAACTAAGTTAATGCATCAAACACAATTATTCATTTGTTTTTGTAATTAAGGATGAAGTACAAAGTACAAAGAAAAGATTGTAAAAAAAAAATCAGAATAATTTTACAGAGACAAACCAGAATATATTGCTCGTTCAACATATAAATGAAGTCCAGCTACCTTTCACCACTAATGTCAACAGCTAGAGCTGTAAGGTTAAAAGGTCTGAACTCAGAAAGCAGCTTACCATGGGTACCTATGATTAAATAGTGACCTTATTATGTTTGTCCATTGCTGACAATGAACCCAGGAATACCTCGTGTTGAGGATAAATTCGACAATGTCCCTTGAGGATAACATACAAAATACATGCGAGTTTCAAAAAGTCCTTCATTTCCAAGGAAGCTAAGAAGATTAAAGGCTTCTATAGAGGACAATGCAAATATATCAGCGCTGAAATGCCCAAAGAAGATTTCACAGAAATAATAATTTGAACTTAAGTAAGGAAAAGGAAGGTAATTTATTCAAATGTTCACAAGCCTTTCACATATATGGGGAAACTACAATTGAGTCACACTGTCTTTAATTAGTTTGTAGTTAGAACCATATTGAGGGTGGCCTGACATCTATAATGTAGCATGCACAGGGCAAAGGAAAGTTACATCAGCAGCTTGTAAGTTCCATATTTCTCAGGTGAGAGGTCCCATAGAAAGACACCTAACAGGAAGCCGATGGCTGAGTGACATCTGGACATCAAAAAACAATTTGGTTTCCCTCTTTGATGGAGACAAGCATTATAGCGTGTGAAAATGAGGCACAGTGGCTAAACTGTTCACAAGGCATTCCATACTCAGATGTGATGAGTAGGTCCAGAAACGTTCAAGATTAATCCTTGAAATTCCTGTCTGAAGCGATGCCGAAAATGTTGCAGCACGTAGTCACTCCAAGATGTCCGTCTCGAAGGGGACAAGATGGTAGTAGGACAGATTGGTGACATAGGCTTCTGGGTCATCATCATTATTGTCTGGATCTGGAGGGAACTCAGTCCCATTCTCAAACCTGCGGGCAACAATAGATATTCGGGGTCACAAAAAAAGAAGAGTAGCCTTTCAAGGTCAACGTCAGATCTAGTAGCTATAAATAACACAGAATGCCATCTATAAAACAAGGAAAATGATATACTGTACTACTATATTAAAAAATCAAAAGCATTATTTGCCAAGTAGTTTTCACAGATCAGAAACCACGTTCTTTGACAAAAACACCAGGCTAGGGAATGGATGAAAAGTGCTGGTCATGTCTGGAATGCTAAATGTGAAACAAAAGTCTCAAACTTTCTAAGATTAAAAGTGGTCTGCTTATTTCCTGCCCTTTTCTGACTTGCAAAGAATGAATTCCCACATTAAGCCTCTTCCTGTTGCCATCAGAGCTTGCAATCCAGGAAAAATGACTTGCAGTCATTCCACAATACCCTGTCTGGATCAAAGGACAAAGTGCAATTCACGAGATTATATATTCTGCACTAATTGTGGCTGAATTATTTATTGGTTTTCAGTAGACAAACATTAATATTTCATTGAAATGTCTTGTACAGTTTCTGTCCAATTATTATTGGTCATTGATAAGAGCAGGGTTTTTTTTCTAAAGCAGATTATGTTTGTCTGCATGCATTTAGATTGTGCACTCGTAAAACATGAAACATCATCTCAGTGTTGCACACAATTTTTGCCTGGGTCATAATTCATGAAGTTGGTGAATAGTCAGCAATATGCTTGCATTCAAGGACATTGCAGTGAAAAGTTTGATTAAAATATAAGAATATCTGCAAAAAGAGGATTTGTTCCATCTAGCTCATTTGGTTTTTAGAAGCAAAGTGATAGTGATGCAAAGATTTCATTCAAAGATTGAAAGATGTGGTGGTTCAACCACATGGCTGAGAAGCTCAATTTCCATTTATGTCATCTAGGTCACAGTATTGAAGTCAATAGAATTAACTATAATACCATTAGAAAGTCCTGAAAGGACTTGATAAGACATACTGTATAGTTCACCAGTGTGTGATAATTGTATAATGATGTGTTTGGGTGGAATGTGAATGGCCACATGGTTTAAGGAATATATAAGGTCATTTGTGTTTCACTAGCATTTGTGCCTCACTAGTGTGGATATGAACAGTAATTGTAAGTTTTGATTAGATTCAAGTCAAGGTTAGATTTGGGGTTAACCATATGGTTAATAAAGGTTTTGTAAGGGTAAACACAGTCAGTGTTTCAGATGTATTTTTGTTTTGGTTTTCTGTATGGTTCCTATTTTGTTTAAATCCACTTTAAATAACTGCATAGACCAGTTTAATGTGTGAAAGCTTCCACCACCACAGGTCCCACAGGAAAGGTCTTCCGCACTGGCGGAGCATGTAATATTGTATTTTACTCAGATTACTGATCAGTCCGGGGAAGTGCCTTGGGAACTAAATCCTTGTGTTGTGTGTTGTGGTCTGTAGGAATTGTGTTCATTTTGTATCTGTTCTTTGTCAAAGGACCAAAATAAAATGATTGGCATTTTATGTCATCAAGGAATCAGCACACAGCACCCGACATCCATCTTGTCTCTGTGTTTTCTAAACTTTAGGAAAACTACAGTAGCAGTCACATCATGGGCAGACAGCACACCTGCATGTACACAGACTGGCATGTAAACATTGGCCGCGAAGGAAGATTACACTTGTCCTGCATTTGTTCCAGCTGGGTCATCACTCCAGGGATCTTTGGGATGATGATGCTTCAAATCCAAGGAAACAGCTGCTCCAGGTGTTTCCGTGGATTTATAAGTAAATAAAACTCATATTTGTAACTGCAGTCATGTGTTCTCATTTTTAGGGGGAAAAACATAGGCATATCAACTAGCAGTAGTAGTTGGGCTAAATCTTTCCACCTTGCAAGGATTTACATTTTAAGAATATCAAAGTTGATAGAACTATTTTCAGTTTAGGCAGCTTTGCTTATGACTGCATTCAGCTATGAAACTGCAGCTTTATGACTGTATACAGAAATATAGTTTTGCCATCTTTTTTAGATTTTATGTTATTGAATAAAAACATAAAATGGGCATTCTATGATTATGAATGTAAGTCAGATGATACAGTCAGAATATAGACATCTGCCTCTGAAATCTCAAACTGAGTGAATGTCAGTAATTTATAATAAATTTGTAAAAACAATACCACATTAGTAGTCAGGTGAACAGTAGATTAACAGTAATGGGATATAACAGATATCCATATGCTTTCTGGAAGTTCTAGAAATCACAGAAAAGTAAAATAGTGTGAGGGAGAATAATGAACACACACAAGCTATAAAACTAATAGCCTTGAATTCTTAGTATATTCAAGCCATTTTTATCAAGTCTCAAGTCAGGTTAAGTGTCAACAGCCAGAAGTCAAGTCTCAAGTGAATGTGCTCTAGTCTCAAGACAAAACAACAGAGAATCGAGTCTCTTTCTTAAGCCCAAGTGTTAAGAATCACCAGTCCACTTCCCTGGTACCTCGTGAAGCTCTGGGTGCCCCTACAGGGGTAGTTCAGCTTTGTGCCCCTTGCCTGCAAGGTTAGGGTTAGGCTTTGGTTTACAGTGACCCTCAAAACTGCAGCTGTTCCAGAAGAAAAGGATTAAATACATTTACTGTAGAGACCCCGAGAGTAATTTCCCACCACTCAATACCTATGGTACCAGGACAACACTTCATGTACCTTGACAGTGCTTTAATGAACCACACAAAAATGTCTAAATGAGATAATTCAGGAAATACCATCTGGATTTGGAAATGGAAGTAACATTTATCATTAGGCATCAGTAATGTTTTGAATACATGTTTGGTGATATAAAAATATGAGTTATGGAAAAAATAATACTTACAAGTGTTCTGTGGAGTCCGTGGTTGTGGGTCGCTCTTTGGGTAGGATCTGATCAAAAACGATAGTTTCTGTGTTGGCTAAACAAAACCCATTTGATCTCATTATCTCTATTAAACAAAGTAGAAAGATGAAATCAATAATGAGAAATCATTAAATAATATATATAGCTACTACATAAATTCATATTAAACTGTAAACTGTATGAAAATTAAACAAATTCAAAATTAAAATCAAAAAGAGTTTGACGTTTCCTGAACTGTGGTTAGGGTCACTATTTTTTCATGTAAAATGATATTTATATATTATCTATATCTATAATAAGCAATGGTTAATTGTAATAGAAAAATAGATTAAATTATTATTATTACTAATTAAACCAAAAGAAATACTGTGCATCAAAAATCAATTCCTTGTGTTTGTATAAAACGTTTGATCCCAAAAGATCCCAAAACGTCTAACAGATAGAACCCTCTCCATTTACCACTGAAGTGCAGCATCTGTCTGAGTGCTTTAGGACAGCTGTTACAGTACTGTATGTAACAGCACCTCTCTACACAGCATATCAAGTAGAGAAATTAGAAATTACTTCACAAAATTAAGATGGAAATTCAGGGAGATCAGATTTTGCAAGCCCATAGTACAGTAGTATTTAGCCTGACACCTGAGCACTCCTACTCTTACAAACAGTCCCTTGGAATCTACAAGACCAAGTCAAGACCTCAGTTTTAAATCTTATATAAAGGATGCATTGAACTGGAAAGAGCCTAGTGATCCACCAGCACTACTTGTTTTCCAACCAGCAACTGAGATTTCCTCAAAGGTCAGCCATCCCAGTAGTATCCAGGCCAGAAATTGCTTAGGATCTAAAAGGATGGGATCAGGCTCTAGGGCGGTAATGGTGTTGTCAGAAGAACGGTAGCAGGTGTAATTTCTTTCTTAAAGCTGGTGTAATATACAAACTTAAAAAAATTCAGAGAACATCTCCTAGTTAAAATAACGAACCTTCAGTAATACAACGAAAACAAATACCAACCAGATATTTTTACCGGACTCTGGAAACAAGGCTGAATTTTGTGAACGTTGTCATTCTTCAAAACTTGGTCTAATTGAGACCGCTCAAAGAAAGTAAGGACCACTTCAGATCTAGAATACTGAATAAAAACAGGAAATACATTGCTGATTTTTTCTTGCACTCTGACATAATATTTTCTGATTATTTCAAAAATATGTATCTTTCAAAATTGGCATAAACATTTTTTAACCTTTATTTGTATAGAAAGGACTCTATGTCAGGTCTTGTTTCAATTACTCTGATATTTAGGGTCAGAAAAGGGAATAGGGTAAGCCCCTGCTGTCTTTCATTTTAATAACTTTATTCATATCCTCTTTTGCAACGTTGTCATAAATCATCTGAGTTTTAAAAAGGTATCTGTGATAAAATTGGTTTGAAAAAAAGGTTACTGAAATCACAGAGGAAACCAGGTAGTGAAATAACAAAACTAGGTAGTGAGGTATTACACATTCTTCAATGCACTTGTGCTCTTCTAAATTCTCACTGCACTTCTCTTGTTTTTAATATACTTTGAAAGCTTCCTCTGTCATTAATGAATGAAAATGGCTCCTCTAAAGCCCTTCCATATGCACAACTTTGAAAAGCAGGAGTTCTTGTACATTTTAAAGTGCACAGAGTGTTTGGCATGGCATTCAATCTTGAAAGAAACTAGAGTCTTGAAAATGTGTCTCTAAAAATAAGCCCAGTATGGTGAATTATTTGCTCTTTCTGTGTTTAGTGACAGAATGGAGTAAACATGTATTCCATTACATTACATGGACAGTAAGTCCATGTACACATTTTATAACCTGTGAAACAATTCTTCATACAAACATTTCAAAATGTAATTTTATCTTTAAAAAAACATTAATATCTGTGTGATGGGACGGCTTATCACAATATCTCATTTGCTCATGTGAAACACTTACAATATAAGAGACTGTGGTTTATGCAAGAAAACCATCATGGCATTAGGAGTGACGTGTCAGTCAGGCTGGGTGGACTAAGGTTTATGTTGTATTAAAGTAAAGAGGCTTAGCTTGGCACTTTCTCGATTCATTCTTTAGCGCATATTATCTTGCAGATTTTCTTCCTTGACATGCTTCTTGACAACAATTGGCAAAAATACATTTTTCAACAAAGCTCATCATATGAAGATGAAAAATGGGCTATGCAAGAAAATTGAGATCAGATAATTTCTTCTTCCAGCATTCACAACAAGCTCCTGAGAGAGCACATGACTCTCATCACCATCAGGGTATTTCTCATGTCTTTTATGTCAGTGATTGTTATCGGTAAGACGTGAGGGACAATGTGTTCCATGCAGAATTGAAAAACTGTACCTTAAAAGGCAGGTTTATTGCATTTTTCAGAAGTCGTTCCACTTCGTTCAACCTAGCTTCTATGTCATTGGCCTCCTTTATTTTGACAAGCCCTGAAAAAAAACACTTTTTCCATTATCAGTTTTATAAATTCAATCTTTGTACAAAAGCTTGCATAGATTTGGACCATAACATATGAAGATTTGGACCATAAAATATAATATAATATAATATAATAATCAGATCTAAGAAATAAAGCAAAAGTGAGCCAGCTGAGTCTATCCATTAGACATCTGTGTATACAGCAAAAACAAAACTTTGCACCACTTTTCAGTTCCACATTGAGAAAGTTTACCTAAGTGTGATTGAAGTGTTAAAAGGCACAGGAACAAATCATTGAAAGTGACAGAACTCTGGAAAATATGTTATGTTATTGTTAATGGCTTTATGTGCTCTGACCTTTTATCTACAAAAAACAGGAAAGATTATTCTGAAATACACGCAATTACAGGAAAAACCAGATCTGGTTCTAAATAAAATAACCTTTTCATTCACAATGCAATTGACATTTCTAATATTTTGATAACCGACTAAAAGCATGCCTGTGAATGATTTCTTATAATGGAATTTTCATATTAATAGAAATTAAAGAATATTGGGTGTCAACAGTCCTAAAGTTCACATTAACTCTAGAACTGGTATAGAATCTAACGTCATTGTTATTGTTCTTGCGGAGGCATAGTACCACACTGGGCCGTCGCCTGAACAATTTGAACTCAATTTGAAACTAATTTCGTTTTAACTGGGGAGCGCCAGTTTGAGACACATAAGTCTGCAGATGATAGTTACCTAATCAACGCTACAATACAGGAGGCAAAGTCAAATGTAATTCAGCAAATACACCAGTAGGTTGGGAATAGGAAACATTATTTAAAACACATGTAAAGTCAGCTTAATACTCCTGTAACCACAGACAAAGCATGCGACAACACGAGGTTGATAACACACCACGACACAATCACACAGCCTGCAACAGCCACAGCTCACAGCACTACTTCATCAGCACCTCCTTGTGTAACCTGCATAGGAACTAGCGCACCTGAATAAGTGCCAATCATTTTAATGATCATCAACGGCCAACGGTGCTCATAAAATACAGAAGTAAACAGGTTGACTCACCATTATAGCTACAATTTTTTTCATTCGTCACGACAGAAAAAAAATCGATTGAAATGTTAAGATTAGTTACATAAATATTTTTCGATATTTAAAAAAAAATAAAAAACCTTTTTTCCACTTTATTAGAAAATTCTTTTTGGGGGGGGGGCACTGCCCCCTAATGCCCCCCCTTAGCGACAGCTGTGGTACCGCAGTGGCTAGATTTGCTGCCTCGCAGCTCTGGGGCCCTGGGTTATGGAGTTGGGGTGCTGTCTGCATGGAATTTGTACCTTTTTCCTGTGTTTTCTGTGGGTTTTCGCTGGGTGCCCCAGTTTCCTCCCACAGCCTAACGACATAGAGTAATAGTACAAAACTGCCCCTAGGTGTGAGTGTGTGCGTGTTTGTGTCCTGAGTATCCTGCCCTGCACCCATTGTGTGCTGAAGCAGGCTCCAGCTCTCCAGTGACTCCTGAAATGGATGTAGAAAATTGATGGATGCACGTCATGTTTTTCCACAAAACACTTGTGGAAGCATGTGTGATCATATGATACGTTATAAAGTTATGCATTACATATTAATATTATTATACAGAATTAAAAAGCCAAAAATCATTGTTGTTTTCTTGTTAAAAGAGCAAGCTGAATATATATATATAAACCAGATTTCTAGAAATACATACAGTTACATAGTTTTAAAACACTTGGCAGAAAATTACAGTTAAAAACACTAATCGTTTATGAGAATTTTCACAATCCTCTATTTTCATTGTTAGGGTATTTTTATTTCTCTGCAGAAAAGAGCATCAGTATGAGGAAACAGCTCAGTAAAACATGAAAGCTGTTTCAGAAGAATGATTGAACAAACTGTTCAAGAATTTGAGGTGGTAGAATCAGAGTGAGAGTAACACTTTGTGGGATGGTAATGGTCTTATGCAATAAATGGATGTGATCTTGTGTTCTCCTCAGTAGGACTGCAGCCCATTCCTGGCACAGAATCTACAGTATATGAGAGATTTCCAGGAAGGCAGCATACTATAGCACAACCTATTTGTAGGGATCAGTTGAGGATAGCCCACACATCCTCAAAGGACACAAGGCCTGTTGTTTATCAAGTCAATGGCAGAGATGGATTTCACTTTCATATTGCATATTTGTCAGGAGCTGGAGCAAAATCCTATTCTATGCATCCATCCATTTTATAACTGCTTTTTCCAATACAAGTTCATTGGTTAATTGGGGAGACAAAGCTTATCCTGGCAAGCAATGGGTGCAAGACATACAGACACTAACATGCACACACTCACACCAGGGCCAGTATTCCCAGAAGCCAATCCTACATGGAGGAAACCTACATGGACACAGGGAAAACACACAAACTCCATACAAAGATATCACCAGAAATCTAATTTAATGGGTGGCAGCAATGCTACATTCTATTATATTTTACCTTATATTTAACTTAAGAGTGGAACGTTGCTGGTGAATGTACACTTTTACAACCTTTCTAAAATAGGATATACTGTATCGGATGGTGTGTTTCTACAATTCAATAGAACTGTCACGGACGTCCAAATGGACTAACCGTGGGGAGCAGGAGAGCAGAAAAAGACCCATATGCGTAGCGGCGAGACGGGAAAAAGGCCCGGGCTCATTAGTGCAAAGAGTTCAGGAATGCCGTATAGAAACCTATGCCCTCAGGGAGCGGACATGGGGCGCCCTGGTGCTA